AAGTGTTGTGGCATTTTAGAAGAGGCAGAGATTACTTTTAGCAGGAGCAAGCAAAGCTGGTGTCCTGGGAGCAGTGGCGTGATGCTCATCATTGTGTAGTATTTATCAAACTTTCTTTGTTACTTTATTTTGGGGCCTCCCCAGTGATGCTGGGGGCTACCAGAGCTATGCTGGGTAATATTGGGAGGTGATGTGGTGCTGGTGACAGAACCCCAGGGCCCTGTGCATGCCACGCATGTGCCCCAGCTCTTTATGTTATCACCTCTTTGAAAGATCTTTTTTTCTCTTTATTTTTCTTAAAAACCCTATTTAATAGAAGCTTTATTTTTTTTAAAGGTTTTTTAATTGAGGGGGCTAGGGTGATAGCACAGCAGGTAGGGTGTTTGCCTTGCACATGGGTTCGAGTCCCAGCATCCCATATGGTCCCCTGAGCACTGCCAGGAGTAATTCTTGAGTGCGTGAGCCAGGACTAACCGCTGTGCATTGCTGGGTGTGACCCAAAAAGCTAAAAAAAAGAAAAGTTTTTATTGAATCACCATGAGATAGGCTATTATAAAGCTGCTCATGATTGGATTTCAGTCGTTCAGTGTTCCAACACCATCTTTCCACCAGTGTATATTTCCCGGTACCAATGTCCCCGGTTTCCCTCCCATCCCCCAACACCCCACCCCTCTTGCCTCTATGGCAGGCTCTTTTCTTCTTCGCAAATTGCCTTCACTGCAGGAATGGGCTATATGTAATTAGTTGAAGGCCTGAGAGCAAACGAGTGCTTCTCTGAGGTTAAGTGCTTCTCTGAGGTTAAGTGAGATTGCAAGTCACTCTGACCGCTTTTCTCTCCCCTTCCACCCTAATGGTTCAGGAGAACCCTGACTAATACTAAGGGAAACAAACACCTTTGGAGAAGCAAGTTGGTTCCACGTCATGGAGGACCCAGAGTGCTTGGCTAAAGAACTTTGAATTGTATTTTAAAGATAAAGGAAAAGAATACCAAACATCCCTGATTTGGGAGATGACTTAATTGATGCTGAGGTCTGGGAATATAAGGGCTGTTATGCACAAAGCAAATTAAAAGAGATTTTAGACGGGATAGTATTATTGTTATTACTATATATATTTTTTATTATTATTTGATTTTTTTTTTTTTGCCTCATCCAGTAGTGGTCAAGGCTTATTTCTGGCTCTCTACTTGGGGATTACTCCTGGCAGAGCTTAGGGGACCATATGGGATGTCTAACCATATGTGTAAGGCAAGTGCCTTACCCCTGTAATATCTCTTTGGCCCTAGGAATTGGATGTTAATTGTGTAGACAGGGGATCTATGATACAGAAAAGTTGAGCACCCTGGGATGTACATATGGGTGCTGGGTCTAAAAGCACTGTAGATAAATACTGTAGAACCGGAAGCAGGAGAGCACTGGAAGATGTTTATGGAACTTATGAAAAACTGGATACTTAGAAATGGAGGTGGGACTAATTAGAGTATTAGGATATTTGGAAATGGAGGTGGCTGAGATTTGGGATCCATCTACCTCGAAGATAGTGACAAGTCCCAGATAAGAGCGGTCAGGGGGATGGGGCTGGCAGAGTAACTGATTACGAGACTTGCAGTTTCAGTACTGGTTCAGGCAAATATGGGTAACAGTTGAATCAAGATTGAGTCCATGGGCTCAAACAATGCAAAAAACAGGTTAGGTTTCTCTGTTTCCATCTCTCAGCTGTTTCCCTTCTTTGTTATGGTCTCAGGAAGCTCTCTCCTCGCAATGGGAAGCTGGCTGCCACGTGCCGTGATTACAGTGTGGCCTCAGCAGAGAGAGTCGCTCAAGTGGATTATTCTGACCAAAGTCCCAGAACGGAATCATATTTGTTCAGGTTGGAGCCACTACCCATGACTAAGTTACTGGTCTCTCTCAAATTCTTCCTCTGACCGAGCCTGACATTCTTCTTTGCAACTGGGGCAGAGTTATCTCCTTTAATGACACTTGGAGGGGGCCGGAGATATAAAAAAGGTGCTGGCCCTACACAGAGCCGACCTGGGTTTGATCCCCAAGTCCCTCAGGAGTGATCCCTGAGTAAAGAGCCTGGTGTAAGCCCTGAGCACCATCAGATGGGGCCCCGAAACCAAAGATAAATAAGGTAAAGGTAAGGTAAAGGCCCTCCCGTTGTTCATCGATTTGCTCGAGCGGGCCCAGTAACGTCTCCATTGGAGACTTTGTTGTTACTGTGTTTGGCATATCGAATACGTCACAGGGAGCTTGCCAGGCTCTGCCGTGCGGGCGAGATACACTCGGTAGCTTGCCAGGCTCTCCGAGAGGGGCGGAGGAATCAAACTCAGGTTGGCCATGTTGGCTGCGTGCAAGGCAAACGCCCTACCGCTGTGCTATCGCAAATAAATAAAAATAAAGACACATGGATTGAGAATTAAGCTTCAGCAGGAATGGAAATACTGTTACCGAAGGAGGAATGGGCGTCCAGCAGATCATCAATAGCCAGTAGGGGTAGGGGAGTCGGATACTCTTGAGGGCTAACATGAGGCAGCTTTGCCCAGTGGGATAGTGGGGAAGAGGTACTAGTAGTCTGGGGTCTGCAGAAACTGCAAGAGAAAGGATAGAATGGGATCAGGTGGCAAGACTATAGCCTTCTGGGGTGGGAAAAGGTGGTGGGGGGAGGGCGGTTCGTTTTGACAAACACCAGACAGCATAATAGACAAAGTACTCAATGAATTCTTGTCCTCAGAATAAAGGCAGGGAAAGTCAAGCAGTTGGGTGACACCCCATCAAGATATTGCAGCGGATGGAAAGGGCAGACATTGTCTGGGGACATTCATTAGGTTGGGAGATGGGATGAAGGAAAGGTCACAGCCAGCTGGCTTTCCAGAGGCATAAAACGCAACAAAATTTTCTTCAAGTTTAAGAAATGAAGAGTTTTAAATTATTACAATAGTCAAAGAATTACAATTGTTCTAAATAATCTAAATTCTAAGAGTAGGGGATTAATAAGACAAATACTGTGATGCCCAGATGACAGGCTACTGGCTTCCAAAATGATGCTGTATTTTACATGCGATATTTACAATGTGTTTCTTTTGGGAGGGCACATACCTTGTGGTGCTCAGGGATCTGTTGCTAGGGGGTTACTTTCTGTGGTGTTGAGGGGGGGGTCATGCAGTGCCAGGGATGGAGTTTAGGCATCCAGCCCTATGAACCATCTCCCCAATGTACAATATGAGTATTTTTTTGGTTTTGTTTTTATTGAAACTTACTTGGCAAGATGTGAGATGATGGTGGTGGGGGATGGGTGGGGGCAATGAAGGGAGGAAAGACATGTTCAAAAGAGAACAAGAACTTGAGAGAGCAAACAAGCAAAGAAACAGAGACAAGCAGGTGAGACACATGTTTCAAGGGAGAACAGGGGCTTGCAGAGCAAGCCACAATATGGTTCTGAAAGGAAAAGGCAGATTAAAATATTTTTGCATAATAAATATTTGTGGATGTGTATCTATCTGGAAAGGTATACCAAAATTTTGCTAGAAATTCAAACTTTTGTAGTGGGTTTCATTAAGGATAGTTTACCTTATACTTGAAGCTTATCTTCTATTTTCACTATAGTATGCCTGAAGTCTAGTACCAGGCATGGTGGCCAGTTGGATTCAGTCTCTTGGGCTCAAGTCACATTTTTGCCCCTGACTGGCTAGAAGACGTCTGCCAGACCCTTAATAACCCAAGCCTCAAAGGATCAATACATGGAGGACTTCTAACTTTATAGGGTTGTGGTATTACATTAGTTGTTATTACACGGAAAGCTGTTAACACCATGTCAAAACTGAAAAATGTAGTTATTCTTCTTTCCTTTGGGTATTTGCGCCATTCCTGGCAGTATACAGAGGAAACTCCTAGTTTTCTGTTCAGGGAGCTATCTGGGTGCCAAGGATCGAACCTGCTTTGCTGCATGGAAGGCGAATGTTTTGTCTCCTATACTATATCTCTGTTCCCACATTGTGTAATTATAAAACCCAAAAGAAAATGATTTTTTAAGTCCAGTATTTTGTAGATAGGTATCCTTTTTTGTTCTGGTTGAATTGTGTGACTATAGTCATCAATAATGAGCTGAGATATTTCCTTTGGTGCCTGAGAAATAGCTTAAGTGGAAGCCATGTCAGACCCGGCACCACATCGTCTCCCCTGATCTCCCAGGTGTGACGCCCCCCACCCCCATCCCCATCCCAGAACAGAGCCAGGAGTAGCCCTAGAACAGGTGTCACCCAGAGGCCCTACTTTGTCCCCCTTTCCCCTGCTACGTATTTTCCTCTGTAACTGGGAACAAGAAGTGAAGAATAGTGATTCTTGTTCTAAAGCTGGAGCAGTGGGAGAAAAATGGTAAATAAGTTTTGTGAGAATAAGGTGATCAGAAGGTATTTACATTTTAGGGCTGAAAGCCAGCCAAAGGCCTGCCGATGGGGAAGTAGGCAGGGTAAGCTGTAAGTCAAGGTCTTATGTTGGGGAGAAAGTCTCCAAAGCAAAATAAATCACACAGGTCTTGGGAGCCAGGAGACCATGCACCTACAGTGAGGCTTTATTTTTTCAGGCCAGACTCATGCTGTGCTCAGGGGCTAGTCCCAAGTATGCCTGGTGAACAACGTGGTGTCAGGGATCTACCAAACCCGGGCCACCTGCACTCAAAGCATGAGCTCAGCCCTTGCAGTGAGATCACCGTCTTTGAAAAGTTTCTCTGCAAACTAAGAATATAATAAAGATATGCTATAATAAGGATAATGCGATTTTGCTTCACAAGGTTGCAAGTACCCAGAGAAAAATTAGTAGAGACGCTCTGCAAACGACAATTAATAGTACTATTACGAATACAGTCTCGAGAGCAAGAAAGGCGGAGCTCAGCGCGGGGGCGGGGGAGGGCGCGGTGGGGGGGACGGAAAGCGAGTCGCCCCGTCCTGCGCGTGCGCGGCGGGCAGTCCCGCCCGCGGTAGGCGTGGCCTGGCCCGCGCCTCTCCGCCCACTTCCGCGGGCTCCCGCGGTGCGGCGCCTGCGTGCTGACGTCAGGCGCGTGCCCCTGTCCGGCAGTCGAGGAGACCCCGCGCAGTGCTGCCAACGCCCCGGCGGAGGAGCTGAGGTGAGTGCGGGGCCCGAGGTTCCCCGCGGGAGCGGCTACCCCCCCGCTAGCCCCGTCTCGTCCCCGGCGCGCCACCGCTCGCCGCCCGCCGCCCGCCGCCCGCGGAACCGCGCTCCGGGGCGACCCGCGGGGAGGCTGCGGGCGTGGAGCGCGGGCCGACGCGGGGCTCGCGCGGCTCCGTGCCGGCTCGCGCGGCTCCGGGGTCCGGGGGGGGCGCGGGAGGGTCCGGGGCGGCGCGGGGCCGGCGCCCCCAGCCCACCCGCCCGGCCGCCCGCGCCGGGGCCCCCCGGGACGCCCGTGCCGGCGAAGGGCGCGGGCCGGGGCGCCTGTCAGCAGGCGGCGGCGGAAGGAAGGGGTCACACCCATCGCGGCCGCCCGGCCGCCCCTCCCCCGCGCCGCCCGGCCGCCCCGGCCGCCACTTCCTGCTGCTCGGCGCCGCCGACATGTTGCGGCGGCCGGCGGGCCGGGGGCGGGCGGGCCGGGGGCCGGGGGCCAGGCGGGGCAGGGCCCGGGGGCTTCCGTCCGGCGGCCGCCCGCCCGTCCGTCCGCGGCTCCCCTGGAGCCGACCCACCTCGCCTCCTGCTGGGGCGCCCGGCCCGGTCCTCCTCGCAGCGGCGTTGCGGGCTCTGCCTTCTTCTTCCCCTTCCCCTTTTCTTTTTTTCTTTCTTTCTTTCTTTTTATTTTTTCCTCTTCTCCTTTTAAGTCCCCGAGAAATGCAGTGTGCAACATGACGTCATCGCGATTTAAGGGGGGGAGGGCGCGTTGGAGCTCCACGGAGTCGGGGAGCCGCCGGCCTTCCCGGGGCGCCCGGGCCCGAGAAGCCCCCCACCCCCGGACCCCCGGCCCGGCCCCCTCCGACGACCCCTCCCCGGGCGGCGCCGACGCCCTGGCCGCGGGGAGCGCCTCTCGCCCGGACTGGTTAACTTTCCCGACGCGGAGCCCCCCCCCACACACACATCGACTCTCGGGCCCCTTTGGGTGGCAAGGGTGTGGTGGAATGAGTGTATTTCACACTTGACACGGCACCCCCGCAACCCCAGCACTTGAGTTTTTGGAATGAATGATGCATGTTTTGGAGTTAACACCTCCCCCACCCCCACCCCCCTCAACCCTCCAGGTCGAAAGGAACGTTTTCGGACTTGGATTCTAAGGCTCCCCCCAGAATCCTACTGGGTGCATTTTCGACTCTAGTTTTGGTTAACGGGTCGGAGGGTACAGTGGCAGAGAAAAGTGACGGTACTGCAAAGGGAATGGGATCCAGCTGTAGGGTGCCTTGTTGCTAGAAGGGGAGTGCAGGGTTGTAGCAAATTCTTCCTCTTTATCTTTTGTATGGAGAGAACAGATTGCTTGTGAAGAAATAGTTGAAAGCAGTGGTAGGTTCAAACCTACCACTGTAGGGTGGGTGTGTAATCGATGGAATACGTGTGTGTGGCTTGGATTTGCCGTGATAACAGCGTCGGTTTAAAGAGTACAAAAACGACACAGTTATTGCCTGCCTTCTTGCTTGAGTCCTCTGTATTTAAGAAGTCTAAATATGTATCCTTTTCATCTTTTAATGTACGGGATAGTTTGATTTCACAGTTTTTGGACGTCCAAACATGGGTGGTGGTAATAATGAATTCAGTATTGAAAATGACCTTTCTTTCAGTAGTTTATTCAAGACCTGAAATGAAATATCCTCTTAAAACATTTTCACAGAAAAACCAATGTCAGTGCTCAGTTAAACTTAATGTTTGAGTCTAAGTCAGGTATTATGGCATAATCAGTGGTCAAATCAGATCTTGAGGTTCTTTTTGTTTTGTCTTTTGGGGGCTATACTCTGTAGTGTTCAGAGACTCTCAGATTAGTGCTTAGGAGATGATGTGGTGCCAGGGATGGAACCTGGGGCTCCTACATGCAAAGTATGACCCCATTAATGAGATTCCTTTTTTAAATTTGGGCCATACCTAGAGATGCTCTGGAGGTCATATGTGGTGCTGGGAATTTAACACAGGGTCTGCTGCATAGGCAGATACCTTTCTTTTATTATGACACTTTTTCTACTAGAAATTTTATGTATTGTTAAACATTTCCAGATAAAAAACATTTCCCCTGCCCCAAGAACAGTCACTTTGGAAAACTGTATTTACTGTGCCATTCTGAGAGTGGTATTGACAGGTTTTTGGAAAGTAAAGATCAATATGTAATTTTATTTATATTTATAGTGCATTTCATTGTTCCAGGTTTTCTTATAAGATGAGGAACTTTCAGTGTGGAGCACTTTAGGCTCCAGGACTTCTTTTGCAGGGGAGGAAAGGCTAATATTTTATTAACTGTCTCATAAATCTACACATAAAAAGATTCTATAGGGGCTAGAAAGACAACATTGAACACACTTGCCTTGCTTCTGGGTTTAGTATTGCTACATATGGTCCATGGAGCATCACCAGGAGTAATCGCTGAGCGCAGAGCCAGGAGTAGACACAGCACCTCGAGGTGTGGCCCAAACCCCTTCCCCTCCAAAAGAAATTCCATGATAGGCTTTATGCTAATTATGCTTATTCAGTGTTTTCTTCAATATGTTGATTTTCCCCACTAGAACATAAGTTCCATGATGATAGGAATTTGATTTGGCATAGTCAACCCTGTATCTCTGGCGTATATGCCACACACATAGTATGTCTTAAGAAGTGTTTGTCAGATCAATGAATAAGGTAATAATTGAGGATTAACAGTTTTCTCTTTATGCAGGTTACATAGGCCAGTGTATATATTTCCAGAAACTTCTTTTGGTCATCCTGTATTTGAGCTGAAGTGATGATACTTAAACTACTCTTGCTTGATCTTATCCATTTATTCAGTCCAGTATATTCTGTAGCTGTACTGAGTAAACAACCATTCTTTAGAAAATCTTATTTTTGAAAACCAGTTCTTCTATCTCTCAAGTTATTCAGACTTGAAAACTTGTTTTCTTTCTTTTTTTTTTTTTTTGCAAATAGCAGCTTCTTTCTGCCACTTTTCTCTGTTCAACAGTGTCATATTCCAACTCATTATGCTTTGTCCATTGCCAGTTTCTACTTTTAGTTACTCATCCCTCAGTCCAAAATATTTTTTTCTGCAGCAGTTTTCATTGCTTGTCGTTTTAGCATGGCTGCCACTGCTGCTATTTTAGATGCTGACTGTCAAAACTTCCTGAGTAGTTCCCTCTGGGATGTTATTCTCAAACTGTTTATTCCTTGAAGTGAAACCATATTTTTTGCCTCCAAAATGAAGTTCCATATTTAATTTGAAAATTAAAAAACACTGGAGATGTGGAGATAATACAGGGGTAAGGTGCTTGCCTTGTACAAGGCTGATCTTGGTTTGGTTTCCCGGCCACATGTATGGTCCCCTGAGCACAGAGCCAGGATTAAGCCCTGAACACTGCCACAACCAAAAAACAAAATAACCAGTTTTGGGAGCTGGAGAAACAGCACGTGGGTAGAGTGCTTGCCATGCGTGCAGCTCACCTGGGTTTTATTCTCCGCGCCACATATTGTCCCCCTGAGCATCACCAGGAGTGACTCCTGAGTACAGAGCCAGGAGCAAGGCGTGAACACTGTCGAGTGTGGCCCAAAAGCCAAAAAAATTTTTTTTTTAGTTCCTTTTTTTAAAAGTTCCAATAACAGTGGTGCTCAGGGGATACTCCTGGTTCCGTACTCAGGAGTGACATCTCCCAGTCACCATGTGTGGTGCCTGGTACAGAACTAGGGTTGACTGCATGCAGGCAGGTGCTTTACTTTTGTTTTTTTTGTTTTTGGATCACACCCAGCATTATTCAGGGGCTACTCCTGGCTCTGCACCCAGGAATTACTCCTGGCTGTGTTCGGCGGATAGCGCAGTGGTAGGGCGTTTGCCTTGCATGCAGCCAACATGGCCGACCCGAGTTCGATTCCTCTCGGAGAGCCCGGCGTGCTACCGAGAGTATCTCGCCTGCACGGCAAAGCCTGGCAAGCTACCCGTGACGTATTCGATATGCCCAACACAGTAACAACCAAGTCTCACAATGGAGACGTTACTGGGCCCGCTTGAGAAAATCGATGAACGACGGGAGGACAATGACAGTGACAGTGTTCGGCGGACCATATGGAGGATTGAACCCGGGTTGGCTCTGTGCAAGGCAAACACACTCCCCGCTGTACTACCGCCCTGGCCCCAGGTGCCTTACTTTTGCATTATCTCTGCCCCAAAGTTCCATTTAAAAAAGAAAAATAGAGAAAACGTCCAATTTAAAATATTTGCCATTATGCTGAAGACCCCCAGATTTTCTTTTTTCTTTTTTTTTTTTTTTTGGGTCTCGCCCAGTGGTAATTAGGGCTTCTGGCTGTGTGCTTAAGGATCACTGGTGGGGGGGAGACGGTATGGGGTGCTGGGGGATTAAACCCAGGTCAGCTACATGCAAGGCAAGCACTCTATGTGTAGTACTGTCACTCAGACTTACTAAAAGTTTCTAATGTAGGAAAAAATAGTCATGAAACTTGACAGGCATCAGTATTTTCACCTCAGATAACCTCTGACTTAAGCTGTGTTGCTCACGTTGTTCTTTAACACCTTACACTTTTAACACTTGCATCATTTTCTCCAAAAGTAAGTCACCGCTGTTTATTAATTGTGCTGCTGTGCTGCTGTGTTCTTGAGAGATACACTGTAATACATTGATCAGAGTGTGGAATCTGGAACCTGGCTGCCTCTTTATTCAGATCCTTGCTCTGCTGTTTATTCTAAGTAATGTCTTTGTGATGCTCGTTTATTTTCTTAAACATAGAGCTAGCAGTATTTCCTATCTTTCTTAGGAGAATCAAATAATTTAATCTTTGTGAGGGACTCTTCATTGGCACCTGCATACTAAAGTCTCAGAGGATATTTGCTCTTGTTATTACAACTTTAGTTCTGTAATCTTTGAATAGGTATCTGTTTCTTCCAGACACGAACATTTTAATAACTACCCTCCTCCAGATGAGTATGAAACCTTAGAAATTAAT